ATAAATTCTAATATTATTACATTGCATAATACGGAATTTTGTCTAATACGGAAAACAAAATTCTGGTTCACTGAGATTGCGCATTGAGAAAGTTTTACTGTATTAACACAATACGTCTGTTCTAATAATCCATGGCCCTGTGAATCGTTTAGGCGCTACTGTTGTTCAGATGGACGGACACTCGTAGGCAGTACACATATATGCCTCGCGTGGTCTACTACACCATGGTTCCTTGTCCTACCAGGGGGATTGCTACCCGGGGTGGGCATCTATGCGTTAGTTTTTATCCGCTCCCTCTACCGTCGCACAAGTGCGCCGACAGGCTGGTATCCGGATCCCGCCAGAAGGCAGTTTACCCTCTCGGTAACCTTCCCATTCAATGCCTGGGTCGGGCCAGCTCAAAGCTACGAGCTGTCCAGGCCGATTCCGCAATGAGCCGCTCATAATCCGTCGGGAAAAAAGGTTCCTCTATGTCCAGAGTACCGGGAGCGCTGCCACGACGAATCCAAGAGCCTAACAGAGAGCCCTCAACTAAGGTGCGAGCGGGGCCGGGCGGGCAGACGGACGGGACGGGGCCGACGGGACGGGGCCGACGGGACGGGGCCGACGGGACGGGGCCGACGGGACGGGGCCGACGGGACGGGGCCGACGGGACGAGGCCGACGGGACGAGGCCGACGGGACGAGGCCGACGGGACGAGGCCGACGGGACGAGGCCGACGGGACGGGCAAATAATTAGTAAAGAAAGATGGCAGCAAGTGTTTTATGCATCACTTTTAACAAGGAAAGTTGGCTTCCGTGTGTTTTGCATCGGAAAACGAGTTTTGCTTTTGACTTAATGGGTCAGCTCTCTGTATAACTAAACCTCACACTCTCCACGCATGTAGCCTAATGAGATCTCACGAAGAGCGCAAATACTGAATTGTCATTTACTGTTCAGAAGCAAAACAGAAGCTGCTCAATAGATCAAAAGAATTGGACGATTTCAGTTGAGATTGAGACAAAATATCCAGTGGAACATTAGCATTTTTACGTGAATCTTCAGTATTTTAGATATGTACCGTACAAAAGCAATTAATGCATTGATTTAATTTATAATAAATAATATGTTCGTGTTTCATAGACATGCAAATGGAACTGGATGTTTCTGGAAAATAGATTGTGGATTTAGCATAATTCTTTCATATAACCTAACAGATATCAGTGTGAAAGTTCAAAGCTGACTTGAAATTGAATCCCAGATAACGGGAATATTGCTTTTAAAAGCATGAGCCACTTACCCGCGGACTCTTATCGCTCAACGATCCATATTTACTCTTTTAACTTGTGACATCTACCCTCGTGACCAAAGGCTGTTCAAGGTTCGCACAAGAATTCGAGTTTACCAAACTTCTTCCTGAAAAGTTCAATCTCGTGTGAGAAGAAATTCGCAGTCCCGCGTACCTATTGTTCTTAAGAACAGAAAATCACTCACGGAGACTCGGCCAAAACTATGGTCTTTCTCCCTTACAGTGAACGATCTCTTCCCGACCATTATTCCCAGTCGTGCTACTTTGATTCATAGAAACAAGATAAACATAACTAATTATACATAGTTGGGTGCAGCTTCACCGACGAACTTTCTGCATTGATAGTGGCTGCATCAAGAGTGTTAGCGTTTTATTCATATACTTGTGAAAAACGTACAAATGTAATGGTTGCGAAATCATCATTTTAGAGGATAAAATAAATTTTCAATTCCCTCTACTTGAACTGTTGTTTTATCTTTATGGAAACCATAAGCTTTAAGTAAGAGTAACTTCTTGTTCTTGAAATTTCGTTTACAACGATATCCTTAACGGATTTGACATACGCTTCCTTTGTTACAGCTTGCAATTCTCATTATGGACGATGAAAATGGACAAATCTTAATATTTTCACTGGACGCACGATTTTGTAAAGCTCACATACACTTGATGTAAAACGTCTCTGATTAACTATTTTTAGTTCGCGATAAAAATTGCTTTCAATGCTTGTGTATGATGCTGTAATACATAACTTCACGTCAACATCAATGCATCGAATTGGATAAAAACTGTATAACCTTGTTGCTTAATATGGTTTACATTAGATGCATTGCAATCATTGTTTATTCATTAGAAATATCTCAAGGAAACCTGAAGATGTAATAAGATAATGAGGTTAGGAAACGTCATTATTATACCAACAATATCTTATAATAATGAAGAGTTTAAAGAAAAGTGATAAGATGTGATTGTCATTACTATCCCTTTCAATTCAATTTACAATATACATTCAATTGAAGGACTCGAATCTAGATAGTTCTGTGCCACATTTCTGATAATAGTAAGAACAACAGTGAATCCCAGTCCGCTGACCCACCTGAGCCACACGCCCTGAAAAAGCAGGACTGAATTTTGACATGTGTTCCAATGTTCCGCCAGATTTTTCTTTGTTCCAGCCAAATGTCCCGATTTTTTATAGTCTGTTACTTATAGTTCCACTCAGTCCTATAAAAACTGCGTTTTGGGACTACTTGTGAACTACATCACTGAAATATGCGCTACATAAAAGAACGCATACAGTTAATTATTTTAACCAAATATTACCATTTTTGTCTTTTTACGTTGCAATCTGAGAGCTGAATAATAGATAAAGAAAGGTACAATGTAATTTGAATAGACGTCCACGTCTCTCACATCTGCCTCTTGTTTGTGCAAGAGAATCTGGAATGAATTGTTGAAAAGGGCTCAGTCAACAGCAGTGTTTTAATTTCGTACAAAGTCTTGCTATATTTAATATTTTATTTAAATACCCTGAAATATTTTACAAAGTTGGTGATGGAAAAATAAGAAAAAGACTTGGAAAACCTGGAAAAGTCATGGACATTCGACCTAGAAAAAGTGGACACTATGATATTCTTGAAAGTGTGTAATGTAATTTATCTTGATGTACTATTTTGTTGTTTACTTGATGTTCTATTTCCTTGTTTGAAGATTTTCTTGATTATGACTACCATTTAGTTGTAGAAAAATAAACAATTTGCTCTGAAATATTTCGGATGTCCAGAGGCGTTTCTAGGTATTCGAGCGCCCAGAGCAAGCATAGAATTTGAGCTCTTGTCAGGTTACTTCAACTTAGGGTTTCAAATTATTAGTTGTCTTAGCGCGTACTACTCTAAATAGCGTGAATAGCGCCCATGACGCGTGTCTGCCATACCGCCATACCTAGACACGTCTCAGGTTGCCCTAAATTTTATTAGGGAGTTTGTGCTCGCCTTAGCAGGCAGCAATCTTGATCTTCTGCTCGTGCGCAGATGCAGTGTTGCAAAATGCGAACGGCAATGCGCAGAAGATCCATAGAGCTTTCGATTGCTTTAACGTTCGAAGGTTCACAAATTCCCTAATAAGTATAACTGATTGTACTGAGGTATATACTACTGGTACTACGGGTATACATTTCGGGTATATTCTACAGGTTATACTGTGTAACTCCCAAATAGAGAGTTTGTGCACGCCATACCACAGAGCACTATCGGTCTTCTGCGCATGCGCAGATGCACTAAAACGATACGTAACTTGAACTGTGCATGCGCAGAAGATCCATAGTGCTTTCGATTGCTTCAACGTTCGAGGGTGCACTAACTCCCTTACGTCATCCTTACGGCAACCCTAACCTGAGCGCGTGCACAGGGTCGCCGCTGAGCTGCCAGCCGCACCGCGCGTGGGCTGCGGGGGAGCCGCGCGCGCGCCGCCGCGACTGCGTGCGCAGAGCGGCGGCCGCACTGGACGTGGAGCCCTGCGGCAGGCGGCTGCCTTCCTCTGCGAGCTGCGCCCGGCCTGGCCCTGGCCCCGCCGCCATACTAGCACTCGCCTGCCCTCCTTTATTCACTGCAAGGAGTTACTTTGCCGTACGCGCTCCGCAAACAAGTCATGGCCATATAAAACAATTGAGTAGTGGTGTAAAGTAAACAAAACAATGGAGCGACCAGGGGCGACGGCCGCCTCGCATGTTGAAAATAATCCCTATCGAATAAATTTGTTTCCATGAATTCGCACTAAAAAAATTATGTAAGCAACTCCTATGAAATGGCATAATTATTTCGACGTGTCGGACTCGGCTACTCTTGTCTTTCCTTACAGCACATGCAGGGGTGCCGCTGAGCTGCACCTCCCGCGGCGAAGACTCACTTATGTACTCGTGCACGATCTGCAGTGCATCATGTACGACTAAAATACCGGGGAATTTTTGCACGGCGCTGAAGGTCGATTGCAGTAGTTTCGCTGTTCTCCTTTCAACATGTGCAAAAATTCTCTTTTCAAATGAAGGCAGGTGGTAAACTTGCCTCATCTCCCTTACCGTAACAAACATGAAGGAATCGGTACACTTTTTCTGGGTATAATACGGTGTAAGAAATATATTATCTTTACTAGATATAAGGAAGATATATCTTACACAGCGGGCATACCGACCGAACGACAGGCCCGCGAAGGAACTGGTGTCGTATTTACAACTTACTTTGCTATGCCGTGTCCAAATTCAAGACGAGGTTCCGACCTAAAGCGATAGAGTCGATTCGTTGCGTTAAGGGATAAAATACAATTTGATTTATTTAGTCTAAAAAAGTAAAAACGTATGGAGGAGAATGTACACAACTCAACTATATCCGTACTTCACAAGATTCTAAGCATCTACATGCAATTATTTAACATAATTTTAATAATGAAATACTGGATATTTTTAAATGCATGAAAATGTGAATAACATACCGTAAGGTCACTTGAGCGGATATTAAATTAAACCGAAATAGTGTGATGTGAGGGATGAAACGAAAGCTTATAAAACGAGCCCTGTAAAGTTTACACGATAGTTTCGTTCTATGGAATGTTACCTCTTTACCTTTTTTACCACTAGTAGCGAAACGTTCAATATGATTTGAATAACATGTAAGTTTATTTAACTGATCAATCACCGCATTTAAAACATGGAAATGAAATACCAAAAAGTAGGAAGATGGAACACCACATATATACTCTCTGGAAAACCGGGTTCACATATTCGCACTATTCATGATAGTTACTTGCGGCAGGAATCGCATGAGGCAGCACCTACCAGCACATTCCACAGTCAGCTGTTTAGCACAAGGCCATGAAGGTCGGATCACATAGCCGCACCCGCATCTGCCAATCACGAGGAATCTGAAGGCGCCGCTGGAGCCGTATGTTATGACAGCATCTTTTCTCAGTGAAGGATGACAGAAAACATTAAACAGCATCATTGAGACTTCATAATCCGTAGACATGGGTCAAGGAAAGAGCCAGTTTACGGAAGAAGAACTTCAGGATTATCAAGTGCGTGTAATTTCGCTTTTTGCGCTAACTCCTTTATGCGTTGTTTTCGGTTAACCCGCATTGTTTGTTGACAGGATCTGACGTACTTCACCAAAAAAGAGGTGCTATAGTAAGTAAACAATCTTCTTCAATCTAGACTTCCTGTTTACTCTGAAGCTTAAGTAATAAATTATCATTTACAGTGCCCATCAAAAATTTAAAGCATTAGCGCCTGAGAAGGTTGGTCACAATAAAAATGCCAAACTACCCATGAACAAAATCCTCCAGTATCCAGAACTGAGAGTAAATCCATTTGGAGACAGGATTTGTCGTATATTTAGTTCTAGTCATGATGGAGATTGCACATTTGAAGATTTTTTAGACATGATGTCAGTATTTAGTGATACAGCACCCAAAGCTGTCAAAGCAGAACATGCATTTAGGATATTTGGTCAGTCTGTCTTTCTTTCTGAAATTCAAAATAACTTTGTTCCCACATAAAACAAAGGAAAGTAACAGGTGAGATGCTTATTTCAGATTTTGATGGTGATGATATGCTAGGAGTCTCAGACCTACGACAAGTTGTGGACCGCTTAACCGGTCAGCAAAGGTTAAGTGAGCAAGATATGCAGCACTTGATTCAAAACATTTTGGATGAAGCAGATTTGGATGATGATGGTGCTTTATCATTTGCAGAATTTGAACATATTATATCCAAGTCTTCTGATTTTGCAAAGTATGTGTAATGTATCACATAATTTGTTTTATTAATATAATTCATCAATAGCTTTCAATACTAGGTCTGTTTTCTTGTTGCAGTGCTTTTCGGATACGCCTTTAGCCAACTTTGGAAACCTTGGCCAGTAATCTATGCTCAATTTGTTTTATATATATTTTTTTAATAGAGTACATTATTAGTTTATCAGTATTATTATGGCTCTACATGTGTGTTATACTTTTATTTGTATTACATAATCACATGAGAAGCAATTTCTGAACATTTTTCTCATTTATTGAAGAGCATTGTCATAATCATAAATTAATGATGTTGTAATCAGTGTTGTAAACATTTATCAAGTAATTTCAAGCAACAGTTTAGTAAAAACTTTTGTACTGTAGTAACAAGTGTCACAATTGATAAATTGCAATTACTGTAAAATGGCCACGATGTCAGAATCAATATGGAACTATGTCTCATAGCAAATTCTTGTGGCAAAAATATTTATATTTAACACTTTCATAGTTATTTAGTGTCTACTCATGTATGCCTACTCAGAATTAGCTCATATTATAGTGAACCAAAGAAACTCAGGCCTGTAGTGGAGACTGGACAATTAGAGATTTTTCTACAATATAATTAATGTATCTTGAAGTCAGAACTGAATAAAAGTCTGGAAGTGCACATTATTTACACTGAAAAAAAATAACATGCCAATTGGATAATCTTTTTTATTCATGTTAATAAGTCATAAAAACTGTTGACAATGTATATTACCATTGAGCCAAATTTCCCACATCAATGACAATCTGTTTGGTTGGGTGCCTAGAATTCCTGAGAAAAATTCAGTATTTGTAAAATTTTCACACATTGAAATGGGAATATTGGCCCGCACTATGGCAAAGATGTATAAAATACAATAATTTCAAACTTATAAATTGCCGAAATTTCTTTTTGTACAAAATTGACTTTTCCATTTCACAATCAATATAAATCCCATTTATGATTGGAGGTAACCACTGAAAAAGAAAAATAATATTTTAGCACTGTTAGGAGAAACCTTATTTCAAGTCAGTATATGCAAAGTACTCACGGAAGCTTCATTCTCATAAACACCCAACATGTAAAGAATGAAACCAATATACACAAAAAGCCAACAGATATTAGAAGAATGCGATTCAATTTAGGTGTGGACGGGCTGTGAGTGTGATCCAAAACAACAAAACCAAGGCCTCCCATAGTAAACAAAAAACTTGATGCCAAGCCTTCCATTATATATTGGCCATTCACTCGGTAAGGCATAAAAGCAACCTGAAAAAAATTAAAATGTAAAACAATATTAACAAATAATTTCTACTTTAAAAGAAGTGAATGTTACTCACTGGCCTGGAGTGTCCATGCTCGTCTGTTGTGGAACCTACACTAGGAGGCTCAACTATGACATCATATATTATCCCTGAAATATTAATATATGGAAATAATTTGGATTTCCAAGATATAATGCTTACAAATGAGAGTTAATTTACTAACCTCCAGTAACCAAGAAATATGACAAAAGTACCAAAGAAAACATAACCATAGAAGAAGGTTGATGCAACCATGATGGTCTTTTAATTTTCAAGTTCGGTACTTCAAGCACTCTGAAAGGTAAGCTATAGAGAAATTCCATTTTTCTTTGCGTCCTACCGGTCCAACATTTACAACGTGTACCAGACGTGTACTACTCCCCTCCCACTAGCAACTGAAAACGTCACAATCTTTGAACGAACACCTTCTCAGAAAACTTGCTTTCAGATTCGTTAATCGCACAACAAAAAAATTCTGAGAAAAAACTGAAAACATAAATAAGTTACATTTTATGAAGATGTATCATACAGAGAAAAAATACGTGTCAACACTTTAAAAATAATTCTCTTCCTCAACTTTGGTTTATCAATACAATGTTAAATTGAATAAAACTATTCATCAGAGTGGTGTAAGGGATGTACAAAATTACTACTTTCGCTGGAAATTTGCAAAACTCCGTCAAGAAAGTAACAGTTAAACCGGATATACGAAGATGGTACTCAGCAGGACTACCACTACAAAAACTATACTCAAATTTAAAGGATTTGATTTTCAGGGCGGGACGTACGAATGCAAACTAAACAACCTCACTAAACAAAAATGTGATTTAACAAAAATTGATTAATTTTCGTTCGAATTCTAAAAACTGTATGACATATGAGGGAGAAGTATAAATATGCGCACTTTTTCTTGACCTCCAGAAACCTTTCTCAGAGCTAAGTTGATTCAAAATTAAAAAAGCATCTAGAATTTTTTTCTTTTATGGAATACAATAAGAATTTGTAATAAAAATGTATTTGTACCAGCAAACTTATAAAATCTTTCACAAATTAATTATTAAAATGCAGAATTACTAAATCCATTCCATTAATTTCCTTCACAATGATTCATCGTAACATTCTAAAATATTCTAATGAATATTCACTTATATGCAATTAGAAAGGAACTCAAGAAGGATAATTCATGTATTGTAGCGACCTCACAAAAATTATTCTCAACATTTCATGTGATCATCCTGGCAAAGGAAGGCTGTTCTCAAAAATTTGGATATACATCATGTTTTAAGCATATTAAGAGAAAGTTGTATTAAAAAATAAAACCTCCTTGGAAATTGAGATTTACTTAAAACATTCTCTGGAACTGAAATAACTCTCCCAATATTAATTGCTCCAACAAGGGAAAAGATGGTGTTTTCAAAATTTGTTGTGGTTAAGATGCATGTTTATCAAAAAAATCTTTCAAAGTTGTCAACAAATGTCTTTATTTAAAAATTCAAGCAAGTTCTGTGCAATACTAGATTTAAATTTGACAATGGATCTGCAAAACATCTGAAACGCACTCAAAACACAGTGATTTTATTTCTCTTGTGCATATAAAAATATGGTGCAAGTTAAAGAGCTGAGCCATCACAGTGAGGGCACGTGGTAATAAAATGGCACATGGGTGAATTTAAATATACAGTAATGTGATAGGCACTCTACAAGTTAATTTGGGGTATTTTATTGAATCAAGATTAACTAAAGGCTGCATTATCTGAGTCAATTATTTACAATTATTATTCTAACCAGTCTTATTATTTGGAAGCACTAACTACCACACTGATATAAGGAAGCCCCTACAAGTATATTTATTTGTATGTACAATGAAGCATGCCTGTGTGATTTATTTGGTATTGAAATAAAAATACCACTTAGATGACCTCGTAGAATGCCACTTGCCATTCAACCTTTTGCAATATTATTATTTTCTTAAAATGAAATAAAACCACAGAAATATTAGATTAAATTGATTTTTTTTTTTACTGAAATGTGATCTTTTGTAAATTCTTGAATATAATTATTTATGAATTTATCATTATTTTAGGTCAGCATAAAAATGCACTTCTAAAATTTTCTGAAAGCAAAATGTTTCATTTCAATCATGAACAAATTCACTAAGAAATATATGACTAATACTTATATACAACACTAGAAACAACTAACATATTATCAATATCTACAAGACACACTAATCACAAGACAAAGAATCCCTGCCAAATCTCAAATGTTCAAATATTACCAAAAAAAATAAAATCTTTTGAAATGAATTCATAGAGAATAGCAGTTTCTGTACAATTAAATAAGGTTCATATGTACATTAGTATAAAAATAAAACATGTTTCATTTCTATCAAATAAAAGAAATTAAGAATTAAATTACATACAATTGCTAACCAGTAGTCAATGTCTTTTAAGGAATGTTAATAAATAAATGGATATAAAAATGTTAGAATTATTATTGCAATTTCAAATCTCTTGTGAAGTTTGAAACCTTATTTATGTAGTCCTGATGTCTTAGTCAATGAACACATTCACATATTGCACAATTCAACTCTCAAACTTCTGCAGGATGCCAGTGTGTATTTTAACCAAAACAACTTGACTGGTTAAAATATAATACCTAATATTTTAAATACACAAATACTTCAAATTTGGTGCAGGCTAAGATATTCTTTCAAACATCCACAACCACTTTCGTGCAGTAAAAAAAATTCACTGAATACCAACTGAAACATTTACTTCATTTCCTGAGATTTTAATCCTGTCACAGCACACTTTTCACCAACAAGTTATAAAATAAATATGTCAAGTGTTGATGAATGCCTTTGTTTTCAATGGCAAAATTTAAGAAGTACAGAAAATCATCAGAAATTCTTTTGAAAAGTCACAAACTGATTAAAATAACAATCATTTCGGTCGAATTTTTTCATATGAAAAGATCTGTCCCTTTTCTAGTGAATCAAATGATTTTTTCTTCACACTATGAAATATATCAAGCGCATATTCATAAAGTTCATTTTCCATGCGCCAAACTTGAGATTTCTGTATTTGAGCCACAGTGCTAGGTGAAGGATCCATTTTTTGTGCAGTACGTCTCAGGTGAGATTTGTTACCTAAAAATACAATATAGTCTTTAACAATAGTCAATTTGAGGGGAAAATACAAAATTAACCACAAATAAACAAAAAAATATATACCAAAAAACTTTTTGCTTACTTGATTCATAATGTGAAGATGCTCCATGAAAAAAAGTAGGTAAAGTAATTTCAAGAATTTTTACAAAGTCTGAGAGCTCTTCTGTAACACCTACCAAAAAATAATGATTTAATAAATTTCTTTTTGCTTCAGCTAGAGCCCACTCATTTCCTGGTTTCCTATGCAAAGAGATTCACCTAAGTAACTTTTATAAAATTTATCAGAAAACACAAATACAAATAGGAGAAAAAAAAATTAATTTTCTTACCAGCATTCTGGAGCATGGCCACAGAAGAATGGAATTTGAAGCCACATGTTATTAGGATCACAATCAGATTCTCCCAATTCTACACATTCATCAAACGTCTGAAAAAATTATCTCCTGTTTAAAATTTTCTCTGAACATTTATAATTCTCATAAACTTACCTAAATCCCAATTAGAGAAACTGAAAGCTTACCATTTTGTCACCATGTTTTCTCCTTACTAAATGAGGGCGAAAATCATCTCCAAAGCGTAGAAAATAGTAGTATGATACAAGTCGATCTAAAGGTTTTCTAATAATATTAATGTAAATAGGATGCTGATTGACTCCAAATCTATATAAAAGAAAAGACAAATTCTTTATTTAAATGTTGAACAGTTAAACAAGAATTCTGTAGAAAGATATGGCAATACATACTTTTCAAAATTTACAAAAGCCATATGACCATGATAAAGGGCTGGTTTTATGGAATGCCAATATGAGACATTTTGTACAAATTTTAATTGGTTAGCTAAAGTCAGCACATGCATGTTTCCAGTGACATTAATGTGAAGCACATGAAAACCATTTTGTTTGCAAATGTCATAAGCAACTCCCATAAAACTTGTTGAGGCTGTTTTTGGCACACGGTTGTAAATAATAACCATATTTTTTGAATCAAGAACACTTAGTTTATTTTCTAATCTTCGCTGTTCCACAGATCGCAGTTGCATCCGAGCTACAGTTATTTCTATAACAAAAAAGAAAAAAGTAGCATATCATATAATAAAAACTAAATTGGATTTTATTTATAAAATGAGGCGATTTCAAACTAACCCAGTTGTTTCCTACTTTCATCCAGCCGCATAACCTGCACTTCAAAGAATATCAAAAACAACGTTAATCCAAGTAAGGCAGCAAAAACCCACATGCGTGGGGATATAGTTCTATAGAACATATCAATTTGTATGTTACGAATTGATGTATAATAGAAATAAATCTGTAAACATCGGCAGGCTAACAAACAATCTCTTGTCGTATATCATTTATTGGTTCTAATCTTAGTTAGTTCTTATCCACATTACGAAAACATAACGATAAAGTGGTTGCCAATTATGGAAATATTGCATGAGTACATCTTCCACAAACAATGTAGCTAGCGGCAACGACCTTCATAGTCACCCACTTTCATCCATAAAGTTAAATAATTTTCTAGCAAGACATTTTATCAAATGCATTTTCAAAATCGTGTTTTTCACTTCACGCGGCAAGCAGATACGCCTGGCAAAGGTCGCCCACAGTGGATTCAAATTGTTTACCAATCACATCAGCTGATCACACTGTACTTTGGTGGCAGGGGCATTCCACAATACACCACCACATTCTGCTGTCAGCAGCAGCTGCGAGCAGCAAGTTGTCTGGCAGCTGACTGGCCTGACCTGACACAGCATAGCGAGCGTAGCGTCGTTGAGAGGGTTCAGTAATTCCATGTCGATTTTGAGGCCCACCGACGCTCTGCATATCATTCGGAACATCTTGGAGAATTTTAACAAGTGCTTTTATTGAGCCAAAGTGAATATTTCAATTCGTTAGTGATGAAAACGAAGGTACTCGTAGCATGTTTGTGTGTGGGGGCTGCACTGTGTTGTGTGACAATAGAAGCTAGCGAAAAGAAGTACAAACCAATTTTTATCATACATGGAATTCTGTCAGGGAATGAAAGTATGGTGGAAATGGCCAAAAAAATTGAATTGGTAATGTTTCAATAATTGTTTTTAGACAAAGCAAAGAACAAAGAACATTGTTCAGTCTTCATAATTGTTTCATTACTGTGAGTATTTATTTGTTTATTTGTATATTGTTTTAGGAGCATCCTGGAACAGAAATACAAGTTACGGGAAGGTTTGGTGGATGGTCTAGTCTAGAACCAATGTGGCATCAAGTTCTTGAAATTGGAAAAGATTTGATGCAGTTTGCTGCATCACATCCTGAAGGAATTCATCTCATTGGTACTTGAATTTTTGGTGGTAAGATTAAACCTAGCTAGAACCTTTGCCTTTTATCCTCCTCACTCCCCTGTTGGTACACAGAATAACGTATTTTGCTAGGGTTTTGAAATCAAGGAAAGTTTGTACTTTCATTGTAATAAAGATTTTTCTTTTTAAATTAATTTTCAGTTTTTCTTATCTTTCTCAGGATATTCACAAGGTGGACTTATTGCAAGAGCTATTCTGCAACAGTTTCCAAATCACAATGTTAAAACATTCATTTCTCTTAGCTCCCCTCAAGCTGGACAATATGGAAGTAAGTTTATTTCCTTTCTTTGTACGTCTTCCTTAATATATTTTGTTTACAAGATTGTTTGTGAATAAATGTACATTTATTATTATATGTTCCAGCTGAATTTTTACATTTGATTTTTCCAACTTTGGTGAGGAAAACAGCATATGAGCTATTTTATTCTGCAGTGGGGCAACACACTTCAGTTGGAAACTATTGGAATGATCCTCACGAGCAGCAACTCTTTTATAATTATAGCAGATTTCTGCCATATGTCAATAATGAATTGCTCTCAAGCCGGAGCGAAGTATACAAACATGGATTAATTAAACTGGAACGTCTTATCCTTATTGGTGGACCTGATGATGGCGTCATTACTCCTTGGCAATCCAGGTACCAAATTATCCTGGGGTCATTTTTGCACTTCTTGTGATCACATCAAAAGCTTATTAATTAAATGTTTTGTGATCTTTTCCAGTCATTTTGGATATTATAATGAAAAAGAAGAAGTTATTGACATGCGACAGAGAGAAACGTATAAAGAAGATTTATGTGGTTTGAAAACTCTTGATTTAAATGGGAAACTAACTTTAGTAGAACTTAGTGGGGTATCTCATTTGCATTGGCACACCAATGCCACAGTTTTAGAAAAATTCATTTTACCTTTTCTTGATTAATATTTTTAATTGAAAAGATTAGGGGAATTATTACATATCTCAAAGCTCAAGTTTTGCAGTGAAAATTCATTAGAAACATTAAAAGTTATTTTCTTGCTTTTTAATAAAGCTTTACTGAATTTTTCTGTAATACAACACACATAGTGCTTCTATTTGCAAGTACATTCTGCGATGTAAGATATATATTTTTGAATTGGCTTCCATTATTCATTGATCTTACAACCAAATGAAAATGATGAGAGTTATTGAGCAAATTAGAAATACACTATTATCTTTGGCCAAAGTGTTATTTGTTTTAAGAATTCATTGACATTAAATGTATAAAATATTGAGCCAGGAAAATGTGCAGGTGTTTATTAGGATAAACATCTTAAAGTTTCTAAGGTACAAAAAAAGCATGCTCAGGGTATGACAACCGACAGATATTTTTAATATGCTTGTTTTTTTCAAGCAACCTTTCAATAATGTTGTTTTATGTTCTTTAATTTATGCATTTTTTGTTCTACTCTCAGTTAGTTTTATGAAGTTCTTCTGATCGAGGAATGTGATGGAAAGGAGTTTAAATTTTATTGTTAAATAGGTAATGGTCATCTGTTGTCTCTTCATTTTTACATTGCAGAGCTCAACTGTGAAGCAGCTGAAATTCTTAAATGTTTTGTTCTTTATATTTATTTTCAATTCTCCTTTTCGTTTGTTCAGAGAACAAATCTCCATTGAAAAAATCAGGTTGCAGTGTAATCTAAGCAACAGCAACTTCTACTGCTTTTAAATACATATAAAAGAAATTAGCAAGGTAGTTGAGAACACTAAACTCTTAAAGTGTTATGTTTTCTTTGTTCTCTGGGAAGACTGTTAATGTGTCATTGCACTTCAGGGTACAGGGCAGTTAGCATCTGATATTAGTACTTTTGTATCTACCTATTTTTGAATTGAAGTCTTGAAATAAAAAAGGATGCAAGTGCCTATTTCATCCTTTCCAGAAAAAGGAGTTTATATATACGTTAAACTTATTGGCACATGCAACTCTTGCCATTTACAATCACCCTGTAACACTACCACCAAATGTGTCGAAACTTTGATTCTTATTTATGTTATAGAGACTGATTCATTCATTATTCTGATAAAAATATAAATTAAACAGAAACGGCAGTTGCATCATTTCTTTATTTCAGGTCTTCAATTAATTACACCCTTTGTTTTGTTAAATTGTACATTCATCTTCTTTATTTATCTTTTTGGTAATAATTGTCACTTTTCTTACATTAAGTTTTACTTCTTCTTTACCATACATTTCATTGCAGTTCCAAAATTTCTTTTATTATACAAATTCATTTTTAAAAACCTTTTAAAATTATTTTGTTATCACATCAGAAAATGTTGAAGTTTCAAGTGCATATTATTTATATTATTTTTACATTGAGAAACGTTTTCAATATTCTTTCAAATCGATTTTGTTTGTTGTGATAAGTAAATGTAACTAAATGTGGTTATACTTGTGATTTCAATTTGAAAGAATTCAAATTTGAAATCTAAATTTTATTTCTCACTGTGACAGGTCTAATCAAATTTCTTTATTACAATGAATTCTTGAATGAACGAAATGAGAAAATGTGCTTTTATTTATCTTTTAGAGTAAAACATGTGTTCAAAAAGTGACATATTGCTCATTTTGGTAGCTATAAATTAGATAATTATTGGAACCTTAAATAGTAAATGATATTTTCACTGCAAAACCAAAGGTGTACATAGGTACTATTTTATATATTGTTTCCTTGACAGCTCGAAACCATAAAGGACAGTTTTGCCCTAAAAAAGTATGATATTATAAGTTCTCTTTGAAGTCAGGGTGTTATCTCCTATTGGAGAAGACATCTAAGTAAATGTATGGTATATTCACATTGTTTCCGCATTCATTTAAATGTTCTATTGTAAGAATTATATTAAAAATTTGTTGTCTTAGTATCTGTTAATTAAGATAATGCTTGTGATTAAGAAATTATTTTTGTAGAAATCTCTGTGTGTTTTGTAAAGTACATTGTGGTGGTTCAGTGTAGTAATACATTGTTCCAACTGGTTAAGTCAAAATCTCTCTCAACCACTTTCATTGTTTCAAGTGAAGTAACTGATGTATTGATATTAGGCTACTTGGTCTGAACATATGTGTGTCTGGTAAGTTTTATATAAATTCTGATATTTGTGTGCATTTAAATAAAATATTCATTCCTATGAGTTTGATAGTATGTGCATTTGATAATAAATGGATTTGATATGACATTATATTATACACCATCATGAAACTTTTGAGAAATTAAGGTCATTTAGATCATAATTATTCACAACGATAATTTTATGACATTTTATTTGATTTTTTGTGGTGTTGAACTCTTATTTTCTTCTCAAATCTTCATAACAAAAGTAGTGCCAAACAATGTTTTTGAAATATTTTCTGGTGTTGTATTTCATTTTGTACAAGATAATAGTATATATTTCTGTAATGTGTGATATCGAAGTAGTGTAATAAATCACTCGATGACCTATATTTAAGAATTAATTGTTTTCTTCGTTATTTATAATGTAAGGATATGGAAATTCATCATAGTTTCACAATTCTATTTTGAAGAGCTTGTCTACATAACAATTAATCTTTTTTAAATTTGTCTTTTGTATTTAACATGGATTTATGTAGGGCCTATGCCTTGCAGTTCAAAAATTGTCCATTGAGTCATTTGTGTTCTCATGTACCTGAACATTTTAGATCAACAATGGACATTAGAGAAATTGACTTATATTTTTATTGGTGGGATTCCCTGGAAAGTTGCAAGTTGGTGTAAAAGAGATTTGCAAAGTTTTAGCTTGCTTGGATATTGTTAAGACATGCCTCACCAGCTCTTAAAGTTTACAAAAAATGTAGTACCCAGTTCCAGGGTCGGATTTAATTGAATTAATTAGGCTGAGTAGGATACAGCCTAGAGCGGAAATGTTTTAGGGGCGGCAGTGTGGAAATTTATTCAAAAGTTGAAAATAAATATTTCGGACGTTATTGATATTTTCCATACGAATTTTTGAACACTTGAAATTATGTTTTCGTCTTTCAACTGACTTTTTAAAACTAATGCAAATTCACATCAATTAATTTTGTAACTTTCTTGTAGTGTAATCTAAATACACAGCAAGACACAGGTTTGACACAGCATGTCAGAAGGGTCAAGCGCAGTGATTCGATCTGATTCTTGAAAGACATCAGTAAAAAAACAGTTGAACTAACATTTTATATTATTTCTGTAAACCATTAAAATTGTTATTTTAGCTCAACAAAGTGAAAGCTATTGTACTTTAATGTTTAAAAAATATCAAAATAAATTAAATATATCGTTTGTTGTATATAACAAATGTATGCTGGAACTCGGAACAATACAGAGGGCGGCAGATGGACTGCGATTTTTCCAACTCTGCCCCTGGTTTTATCCACGCACGTTTTCTTGAGCCGTCATTTCGCTAGATGCAAAGGGAGTGAGGGATTTTATTGACAGTATTAAATGAAATTTGTAGCTCGTTTTTCGATGGAAACTATTTTCTATTAGGCAGGAGCAAACACTTCTGGTTATCAGAGTTTATCAACAAAACTTGTAGCTATCATTTATTCTGAATTCAACTAATGTTAGTAAAGTAATAGTTGGTAATAGTTATTATACGCGCACGTTTTCGTGAGCCCCGGAATACCTACCCCCACTCCTTTGCCAATATTAGTTGAATTAAGAATAAATGATAGCAACGAATGTTTTAGACATCTGATAACCATTCCGTTGATAGTTTCATCCAATCGGGAGCTGAACATCACTGTGGTGACGTTCAAGCTTCCGATTGGATGAAACCGTCAACAACTGATACCTGCCAGGGGCAGAGTAGAGAAAATCGCAGTATATCTACAGGTTAAATCCGGCCCTGCCCGGTTCCTTCAAAGAATCCATGAAAAACAATTCAATCTGAATGTAAGAAATAAGTTGAAATGTTGAACCTTTTGAAAAAAAAACTTTCATTTTTGTAGTGTGGCAATCGACTTCGTTTTTTTTAAAAAAAATAGGCTTCTTTTTGAAGTGATTTTGGCTTTAAATACCCTATCATGTTCATCTATCTTCATCAAGCTGAAAAGCGTGCCTAGCTCTTCGATATCACCATTATGTTTTGCGGAAGAAACAAGAGTTTTGCAGCATTTTACATTATCGTAAATGTACTTGTAATATTTATAGTATAATTAAAGTTATGTAATGCTGCGGAAAATAGATTTCGAGTTTTTAAAGGAAATACACGTTTTGTACTTTAACAGTATGTAGCTGTTTCCAATAACGCGAGAAAGTATGTGCTATTGTATCACCACTAGTTCGGTATGAAGGAGTACAAAACATTCTGGCAACACCACGTGTTAGAGGATTTGTTTTCCATGTTTGGCAAACTGGATTTATCCACTTATTCGTAACCAGGGCCCGTATTAAAAGCTTTTGTGTCGAAAATTTGCCGTTTTCCCGCGCACGATTACAATACTCTCTCTTCTTACGTTAGTAAGTGCGAGAAAGTAAAAAATACTCTGTTGACTGGAGCACGTAAGCCGCCCGCTCGTCTGGCTATTCGTGCGGTCGCAACTGAAGAGTTCTGACGAAATTCTACTCTTAGGTTGTGTTTTTTTATAAACAACTGACACTGCTAGTGACTCTCTAAAATAGTGAGTAAGCTTTCTTTCTCAGATAATATACTGAGTCAGTTGTGTAAGCAAAGGTATCAGAGAAACACACATTGTTCTGTGAAGTTAGCCATACAATAGTATCAATGCTATTGTTTCTTTCCATTATCTTAATATGAAAACCTACAATTGCAGAAGTAATGTATATTTACGTTGTTACAATTAGCACTCTTGAGAAATTGTAATTGACTTTTTAGGGATCGTCAATAAATTACGTAACGCTGAAGAGTGGGAGGGGTTTTGAGGCAGCGTGACGTTACGTTACATTGAGGTATTTATTTATTTACGTCAAAAACAGTTTAAAACTGTGTGTGACGTGCTATGGGGAGAAGTTAATTTAAAGTTACCTTTATGTCCAGAAGTAAAACAAGTGGCCATCTCAGCATTTGCGCAAGAGTCAGGGAAACTGGACGAAAACCTGATCGAGATGGGGGTCATTGACCCAGAAGCTGAATACTTGTTACAGGTTCTTTAGAATTATACAATTCAAATGGCAAATAATACATTAAATGTCATTGTTAAAATTAATATTACATTCCTTTTGGATGCTCGGTATAGTCTCTAATTTTATAGAGACAGTTGTGCTGCAAAAACGATTTTACTTGGGGCTTAAACATTTGCACCGAATTTAAATGTTTAATGTCATCTGGTGTTGTAAAACAACGTACATGTATTTTATGTGAATTTTTTGTAGTGAGCTGTTGACGTGGTCACCTGATGAATTTAATTTATACGTCGAGTGTTGTAGTTATAGACAACGGCGTTTGCTGGAAATATATTCCCGCCCTTAAGTCATTTTTGGAAAAGAAAAGAAAGAAAAACAACAACCAACAACAACAATACTGATTCATATATGTAGACACAAAGTAAGGGTAAAAACCCTAGATTAATGAAAAGAGGCTTACAAGCATAACGTGGGTGGGATTTGCTCATTATTCGTACAATTGTTTTTGTTATCTAAACGTCTGGGAGCTATAAGATGTATTTCCCTCGAATATTATGCCATATCTCAGGCGGGAATGAACATTCGCGAAATATACAGCAGCACTGCCGCATTTCATGGACATTTCAAGAAGTATAGTTGATGAATGAATTTTGGCGGTTGTTAGGATTGATAGTTGAAATTAAATGTTTATTTATACAAATGTTAAATGTTGGGGACACGAATAAATTGAAAAATGCGCAGTATAATAGTATTCTTCGGACATCATACGTCAATGTTGCATTTGAAAGTAATATCCGCCTCCTGTAAAAGAGGACATTTCGCCCTGTCTTGTGAAATACACTCGAACAGATTTTCTTACATAAAAAAGATGGCATATCCGGAAAAAAGAGTATGCATGGTAACGCTACTTATTAGATATTTCAATTATAAGTACATTCGAAATCCATTCCACTGGTTCATTTATTTTTCCAATTATATTTTTATTAACTAAATGTTCTTATTTATCTTTAAATCTCTCATATAGATTTAATGAAATGCATCTTGTACTAAGTGTCATTGCCTCTCCAGATAGTTTTATGGAACACTGGTTTAGAAAACAATCTAACCCTACCTAACCCTATCTAATACACTACACATTATAAGTCAATTTTTTAGTATTGCAATTGTTATTGATATTCTTACATAAATTAGTAACATAATCAATTCTTTAGATAAGCGCTAAACTAGAATAAGTCATGAGTAGACCCTGATATTTAGGTAAAAAACCTATTTTTCACCTGGGTAACTTGTACTAAACGGTGTTTTGTACATATATTTTGCGATTATTCGAAATAAAACCTGCCCATTTCCAACATTAATTCCTATTTTACTTTTAAAAAGCTAAAATGGGACTAATTTGCAAACTAATTTCTTTCTGTGGCTTCTTTTAACATTTTTCTTATGTGCCGGTAAAACAGACAAGAATGATATCAATTCTGGGTTGCGTTAATCTGAAAGATAGCGAGAAATAAATATGCAGAACAAGGATGTTGCGATTAAAGTCTCCATGCCACTACTTCCTGACTTCAGGGAAATGCCTGTTTCAGCTTCTAAGATCAAGCTATTGAAATTCAGAGAACGAAAATTATCGTTGTAGTTGCATGGATCCCATTACACCAGCTGACAATTTATCGTTGCTTATTGATGATTCCTACGAACTTCATCAGTGAACTGTGTAAAGAAAATATTCAGTTCTTTGATTTTTCAAACACATTAAAGTGTTACTTACAATTGCATTCAGTTGCGTGCTGCGAAGTCCAAAACAGCGAGTACAAGAGCAAGAGTCATTCAACATGATGAATTCCCGGACTTCACAACAGATGAAATAATAATAATAATAATAATAATAATAATAATAATTATTGAGTCACATACACAATTACAATCGTGTATGACGTGTCAATATGATGTCTTGGGAGGAGAGAGCGAAGTTACATTACTGTTCAGGAGCAAACAAAGGACCATCTCAGCATTTGCTCAAGGGACCAGGGAAACTGAAGAAAACCTGATCGAGACGGGGTCATTGACCTAGAAAGAATATGAAAGGATCATAATCTGCTAAGCATGTAACAAACAAGTAAGTTATATACTTCATAAAATTGACTAATTTGTTCAAATTCAGATTTCGAAGCAGATCTTGAAGTGAAGTTTCGTGGTTTCTGTTTGAATTTTTCAAAATCCAAGATCAAAATTCTAAATGTGATGAAAGGGTAAGATGGTACAGTGACCTTGCGAAACAGTTTTCTACTACTTTGCACTTTTATTCTCCTAAAGCATATAAGAATGTCTGATTATTATTTTCATTACCTCATCCAAAGAGACTAAGGTCACGGATTTCTTCTGTAAAT